TACTCGGTATTATTTTTAATGTATTAGAAAAACTAATTTTTTTTGGAAGATGCATAACCCAATATCAGCAGGAGCCATTGGGATAAGTAGTTAGAAAACTCAACTTTAGTATGAATCGGCCATAAAATGCAGGAGCCATTGTTGCTTTAGTATGAATCGGAATAAATAGCAACAAAAAAAAATAGCAGCAACGATGCATTGACGCACAGAGAGTAAAAAAAGTTATATAACCAAACACCTCCATTAACTGGTTCTGTGGTTCATTTGGTCAAAAGGCCAAATGTTGGTCAAAATAGCCAAAAAATAGCTGATAGGTCATTAACCAAACACCCCCAAAGAATGCAACGTTTTGGACTTGACTGTTTCGATATTTATCTAATGTTCCTATTCTGTCCGCACTACCTTCCTTCTTTTCTCATTAGGCCCTTCCTTTTCCATATCTTATGCGGAAGAAAAAAAACGAATAGGTAGAGTCATTTTCATAAACACTTGGAAGGGTATGGCAAAGAGGGTTGTCATAGCCATCCTCTTTATCATGTGCAAGGCCAGACAAATGGTAAAATCATGCCTTAAATAAAATATTTTTTTTAAATAAAAATGAATTAAGAAGTGGTGTTATAAACAGAAAAAGTAAGGCTGGAGTTACTTTTCTGGCTGTATTGGCTGAAGTTATTGTAGATGACCACTTTAACTATTTTTACATATAATTTTTTCTTTATTTTATCAATAAAATATATTTTAAAAATAATTTTTCCTAAATTAGAAGAATTAGCCAATGCAGTCACTTCAGCCAGAATTTAATACTCACTCCGTCCCACAAAGAAGTTCCCACTTTCCTTTTTTAGCAGTCCCAAAAAGAAGTTCCCCTTTTCCTAAATGGAAAGTTATTCTACATAAAACAGTGCCAAACAGTGCCAAACAGTGTCAAACAGTGCCAAGCAGTGTCGAAACAGTAAAATTTACCCCTAGTAAGTTTATTTCCTTAATATGTGTGTAAGTCAAACTGTGAACATCTTTGCGGGACGAAGGGAGTAAATTTCAGCAGAATCAGCCAAATTAGCCGATGTTCGTGCTACCAAACGGGCTCTAAATAGTAAAGGTTGGTTTGCAACAACTTTAAAAAAAGCACTTCTCAGCTTTTGGCTTAAAAAAGCACTTATTTACCAAACACTACCAATTTTTTACTTTTCTCGGCTTTCGTGTCAAAAGTGCTTTTCCCCTTTTTATACACCAAAAGCACTTATTTTACCAAACACAACCAACTTTTACTTTTCAAAATCACTTTTTTCTCAAACACTATCAACTTTTACAACTAATCACTTTTTCATTTCATCTCCAAAAGTGCTTTTTTTTAAGCAGAAGCTGTTGCAAACACTCCCTAAATGTAGAAAGAACATAAAAAGGCAGCCCTCAGCACGGCTATAAAGAGGCCGCTCTTCTGGCTGGCTTTAAAGAAATTTCGCCCATGAATGCCCAACTTAAAGAGTTGGATTTGGGGTACACACTTTTTTGTGTACATACTTTTATACATGTCTGTGTAGGTTTTTTTTTGTCTGTACAAAAAATGTATTTTTCTGTATAGACAAAATACATTTTGTCTTTACAAACAAAAAAACATACACAAACATGTGTAAAAGTGTGTACACAAAAAGTGTGTATCTTTACCATTTTTCCAACTTAAAACCAGCTCAAAATACACAAACATTTCATTTGACACGTAAAAGTGGTCTTCTTCAAAGTTGATTTTTCTACACGTGTTCGGTTTAAATTGTAAATTTTTATGTGAATATTATAATATGAGGGTTTTTCTCAAATATTATAAAAATAAATGTATTGAACAGAAATGTTGCTAAATTGATTATGTGTACGTCTATGGTGTCTAGAGGTAAAATTTGAATATAATCATAATCAATAAAAATTACTAAGTCATATTTACGTCGATGATATTTATTTTGGTCATATATTAGACAAAGAATTGTTCACAAGTTAATGGATAAAAATGTGACGAAAGTACATATGTGCATGTTATAAGTATGTCATACACTCATACTCCGCATCTTATACTTTCATTAAAAGTGAAAAAAAATCAAATAACTCTTATCTTTAAAATATGAACTATTTTTAAAGAAGGGGTTTTTACGAGAATATTACTAAAATAAAACTTATTTACATAAATATGACTATTCATTACTACAACGTAGTGCTGTGGTAACGAAAGTTCAAAACTTGAACATGAATTACTATGATTTCATTAATACTCTAGTAATGAATTATATTTTTGTAAACCATCTTTATTTTGGTCATATTTATGTAATTATTTCTTTAAAGAAAGCACTTATTTATTAGTGATAAAAATGATCAATACAAAAGCACTTTGGATCGTGTAAGGATACAATAGGACGAAACGTAGAACTGAGCAGTTTTAAAGGAATATAATAATTCACCACCCCGCAGAAATGTATACTCCTCTATTAACAGAGAAGCTAGTGCTACTAAATCAATAATGAAGACTAAAAATGTACAAGCATATAAATCAGTTTCACCATCCTTCGAAAAATAATAATAGAAAACCTGGTTTGTCCAACTACTGGAAAGAAACGACTAAAATCCTCAGTTTGACCGATTAGTGGAAAGATCCAACAGAATACTATTTTCTCTAATAGCATGATGGTGGTTCAAGAAATGACAAACATTGTTAACAATCAACAATAAAATTTCAACATCAGATCGATTTCACCGACGAAGAATACAAAAACCCTACACACATCACTAGCAAGGAACCACTAAGGTTACTTCAAAATACCGACAAAATAGACGCTTTTTCATTTTTAAGAACAAAAATTTGAGGGGAAGAAGAGAAATGACTAAAGTATTTACCATTCCCATAAATTATGAACTTTTTACTCTTCCCTTAAAATATGAACTAAGGAGGTGTTTGGGTCTACTTTTTAAAACTGTTGCTGAACCTTCAGAGAGTAGAACTAAATATTGTTTTTTTTTTGTGAAAGTACTTCCGGGTGCTCCAAATTGTACTTTTTTTTTGGCAAAAGATAACTTATCTATTATTAATAATGAGAATCAGATACAAAGTCACCATATTAAAGGCTACACTGAGATGAGACTTGGAGTGAGAATTACGCTTAAGAGCAACCTGACTCGCTAATCCCGCAAAGTGGTAGATTCCATTTACAACAATATAATGTTGCACCTGCTACTAGAATGTAAAAATGAAATAACTGAATAGTTATGAGAAAGCAAAAAAAATAAGAAAAACAGTAACAGTTTGTCCAGCCACTAGCAAGGAAACAACTGTTTGATCAGCCTATGCCAAAGGACCCACTTTCAACAGCACTGGCACGTGCAAGTTTTTTGGGTCTGCTCCATCAACATCCATATTTGCTTGAACCGGAGGAGTAACAACTTTCTTACCCTTTTAAATTAGATATTCCACCACATAGCTTCCTTCAATATTAAGACTGCCCGAGACCTCCTTATCACCCCTTTTATCATTTGACCTGTTGGTGTTAAAGAATCAGCCACCTGTTTTCTGGGTGCACCCCATCCCACCTCATATCAGCACATAACCATGACCCATAAGGCTTCTCCCTGATCCAAGGACCCCTGTATGGATTAGAAGGGCATAAACGGTCGGCATGACCATGAATCCCATACAAAAAACATAAGTTTGGAAGTATCTCATATCGAAAATCCGCTCATACCCAATTATCCCCTTCCTGTCGTATCTGCAAGATAGCGTTCATCCAGTTGGACAAAAGATCCAATACTTTTGCTAATCCCACGAGCTGCCTTCTCTGTCATGTACCCTAAAGGTAAATTATGTACCTGAACCCAAAAGTATACATGATCCAACAGAACTTCAAGGGGCCAGCCAATACATCCCACACGCATCACAACTAGATTTTGCTCAAAAGACCAAGGCCTTTTCGCAATGACTCTACTAACATCTCCTTCGTTGTAAACTGGAGAAGAAACATGGAATCACTTATCTCATCAATAGAAACTCCACGAACGGGTCTCCAAATCATGGCCATTGTTTGCTGGAACGAAAAAGCCTGAATAGGTTTGTTCGAAACCACGCTGGCCACAGCTGAGAGACAAGCTCCTTCATCAATCTCCATAGTAATTCCAATCGGATCTACTTTGAGCACCAAACCCCCGTTCTCTTCCGCATGCATAAAGATCATACTATATAATTGTTGACAACCATATCCATGGTGAAAGTACGAAAACAGAGCCACAAACATGAGCACAATGCAAAAAATAAGCCATAACCACAACATATTGATCAAAACTACCGCCCAACAACCGTACAAAAAATGAAGTGTAAACAAACTCGGCCACCGAAGCGAGCCAGACAAGAAAGATGAGAAGTAAGCCCGTAAATCAAAGCCGTTGGATGCCCAACGAAAAACGAAGCAAAAAAAATGAAACTTGGCGCGATCGAAGAGCGATTAGCAAATGAGCCTGAAAGCCAAAGCCTTGCACTCGCCTGCCGGTGCAAACTATTTAACGCAAGCAACCCCTGAAGTCGTAAAGGACGCATCGATCATCCTCCAAGCCGCCACCACATCATGCTTGGGTTTGTGTTTCTTGTTTGCTACCAGCAACAAGAAACTGAGGGACATCAACTTTTCAGAAAACTGATTCTAATGCCACTTATACTTTTAAAAAAGAATCAGAAGCAGGATCAATTCCAAACCCCCATAAACTTCACGTTCACACAATTTCCCTAAAAAGATCTCACACAATTAGAAAAAGTTGTTTGTACACATATTTGGAACATATTTTATGTACACAATCCATAATTGTCTGTGTACAGAAGCAATTCGTTTAGAAGCTAACTGCGTACACAAACAGCTCAGAGTGTGTGCACAAAATGTGTACAACTACCGGCACAGGTAACTCAACTGGTAGCTCATGTGGAGGTCATATCCTCTATGTGTTGGACTGGGTCTATGGTGCGCACGAGAACAAAATGCTTACAGAGGTCGTAGCCTTGGCCACGGACAGACGTATGTGTACACAATTTACATCACGTGTACGGAGGGGACAGCGCCTTAGCCACGGACAGACGTATGAAGTATGAACCTCCACTCCACTCTCAAGAGTATCACTTGCCATCGCGTCGGGTAATCTGGTTCTCCATTATTCAATCCATGTACATTTTCTCATCGAATTCTCACAATTTCTTTGCTCAAATTTGTCTATAGCGTCTGCGAAGATGGAAACCGCAAAGAATTCCAACCGGCAGCCGGAGGTGCTCTGGGCTCAGCGTTCCGGTAAGGTCTACCTGACAATCTCTTTGCCGGATGCCAAAGACGTTTCCATCACGCCAGAGTCGACTGGACTCTTCGCATTCTCCGCCGTCGGCGCACACGGAGAACCATTCTCCTTCACTCTTCACCTCTTCGGCAACATTCTCCCTCAGGTATTTGTTCGCTGTTCTTCAACGAAACTAGCGAGAAGGACGGAGTTGTAGTCTTAGTTGCTTTATACGATAGTAATTCCCTAGTGCTGAGCTGTTATTGTTCATTTTCAGTGTGTGATCTTAATTGATGCAAAACGGAAATGTGTTTATGATTAGTGATGATTAGATTTCTGCCCTAATGGGGCTTAGTCATGCTTCTTATTCAGCATGCTATGACGATTTGTTCCCCCAGGCTTGTAAGACAAAAATTAGTTTGAGGAACATTCGGTGCTCAATTCAGAAGGACCAGAAGTCTTGGTGGCCAAGGTTATTGAAGTCTGAAAACAAGCCTGCTCCTTTTATTAAGGTCGATTGGAACAAGTTTTGTGATGAAGACGATGAAGAGTCTTGTAAGTCTTTGTCCTGTGGCTTTTTTGCTTTAATTAAGCTTTAAAATTATTTTTGCACTCTACATCTTTTATAAAGAAAACTATGTTGGGTACATTTACTCTTTGTAAGTTTGTAACAACTGACTTATTTAGCATTTTTGTGACTAATGATGACCCATGTTATGAAGGATGCAACCAAAAACCAAATGTGGTATTATTAGTTTTTTTACTAGCTTTAGTACCTTGTAGGAAGCTGCAGAGTTGGGAGGGTTTGGTTGTTACAATTTTATGCCAATGCTGACTTAAGATGACCTTTTAGGTCTTAAAACGAGTCTCTTTATAGTTGGTCAAAAGAATATCACAAAGAGATGGATTTATTATTTCTGCAATTTCCTGTGCTTTGAAGTTCAATGTTTGTTATGTTTTGGGTGGAATTGAAGCAAGGCTGAAGTAAAGTGGATGGTGTTTAGATGGGGGGGGGGGGGGGGGAATGATTTGTGAAATAGTAACCTTATTGGCGTTGTGATAAGTAGTTTCTTGTGTCTTCGAAGTAGATATTTCTCAAGTTTTGGGAATGTGGTCTGTAGAGCATAGTTTCCAAAAATCTCAGAATGGTCACCAAAGATGCTAAAATATGGGTGTGATATGCATCTGCAAACACACATACTGTTGTAATACCAGTATACAACATGGTTTAATTTCTAATAGACACTTATATTGTAATCTTCTTACTTTTGCATTGTTAGTGATTGAGTTCTTTTGGAAACTCACATTTTAGTTCATCAGATCAGGCCTTAATCATAGCTGATAGATTTAATTAATTGGCAGGTCATACTGGCAGTCTATCGAGCCTGACAAACTGGCCGAGCCCGGCTGGTTAATCCTGTTAGAGATGGGGTTAATTTGTAACTCCATAATCCAAAAAGTGTGAAGGCTATAGGGGGATTGTAGATATACCTTAAGCCTGGGGAAGTATATGTATGATCAAATGTGTAGTACAAAATGTAGGAGTACAAGTTCTAGATCTAAAACTAGAAAGCTTACTGTTACAGTCATGGTTCATCAAATATGCAACAAGCACTCTTACTTCCTTCTATAATGATATAATGGGGGTGCTTCCTTCGTGATGGAAGGGAGTATATATAAGGACCAGTAGTGAGCTCCATTTTAGTCATGTTAGGGTCACTGCTTGTGTGCTATTGTACCCGAGCTACACCTATGCCCTACGATTTTCTGCAACTAGCTAGCCCTGGTGCTAAGCTTACGGTGCAGGCCATATGGGCAATCACCATAGCAGGACTAGCCCAGCCATTGACGTGGTTCACCAAAAGCAACTTCTGGATTGGGGACCCATCTAGACTCAAGCTAACTCTTAAATCTCAATGATTTTATAGATCTAGGTATAGATAAAACCAGTTAACTTACTTAACTATAAACTCTTTTTTGGTATTCTCATGCAAACTCACATTACGTCTCAAGTGAATAAGCAAGTTAGCAAGTTTGGAATGCAATAGAATTTATGTGTTCTATTTGGATCCATTATGACATTGTTTAACTGATCCTCAAATTATTAGAAAAAAGTACTCATTTCCGAAATGTTTGAGTTTATCACTTTATCAATCATCATTTACCCCAGTGCCGCAAAGGCTCCCACCTACGGTGGGGTAAGGGGGGTCGGATGTACACAATCTTACCCCTGTACTAAAGCACAGAGAGATTGTTTCCGGATGACCCATAATGAAAATTGCGTCCAAAATTGCATGCTGACTGTTGCTTCATAACAAAGAAGAACAGACAGTTTTGCGAGCCATTTTGCTTTATTCCATCATATTCTCAAGCCAAAAAATAATGAATCTTTGGCTTCATTGCAAATGATGGAAAATAGAGAGGTTGATTTTTTGACATGTATTATCAAATAGAGAGGTTGATTTTTTGTATAAAATAAGTAATCTGTTAAGAATATATGTAAAAAACAGGCAATTCGTTACACTGTTTTAATATGCAATTACGAATTTACCAATCCATTCTACAAGTCAAGTTTACAGAAAGTCTAGTTTAGCCTTGGTTCCAAACAGGAACCCTGACTTGACATCCTGAGTTGCTGAACATGACACATACACTTTTTTATACGTTGATACAACATCACATGATCATTGATCTCCCACTTTATGTTTCTTCACTTTTTTGGTATGGTTGATACAAGATCGCACTATCAAGGAGCTCCTACTTTATGTTTCTGTAGTTGTTTAATGCCATGCATGGCCAAGTACAAGATATTTACTTTTCTGTAGTTGTTTAAGATCATGTCCTTGCGTGGCCAAGTACAAGATATTTACTTTTGTGTATCTGTAATTTTGGATATTTACGTCTAAATCTAACAAATATTTTTGGGTACATGCAGCTGATGTGGACATTGATGATGATTTTGCGGTAACTCCAGCCCTTATTATTCTTCACATAGCATAAATAGAAATTTACAGAGTACATGTTATTAGTTGTCTAACATGATGAGTGTGTATTTTTTTTTTGCAGTATACTGGTGAAGATGATGAGAGCAGTGATGATGGAGGAATGCTGTGTAAGTTAAAGAACATAATACGTGCATATACACAAACATATGATTTCTTAACTTGATCATCCTACCTTTACTCTTCTAAGACATGAGTTGGCATATAAAGAGTAATGTAAAGCTATGCTAAGAAATAAATGTAGAAATGTAGATCCTTAAGAAATAGCCTGTATATGTTAAAGCATTACTTTTTTTTTTAATTCATGGATGTTAGTATTTGGGATTTTGGGGATATATGAGTTAAGGACTCAGTTATTTAGGTCATGTTTGGAACTCAGAAAATCGTAGGGTGAGAAGAAAACCATTGGAGACATTCCATCAGCTTTCACTTCTGATTTTCCTTTTATTAAATTATTATGTCATTTCATTATTGCAGATCTTCCTGACCTGGAGAAAGCTAGAGCGAATTATTAATGCAATATGGTGAACCTTCAAGAAGCACAAGTTAGCCAAATGTATTTCTTGAGTATTGTTTTTAAAAATTTGGCTTGCCTAACAAATTATTAGTAGGTGATGTTTTGGGTCCTATATACATATATGGGTATGTATATGTTTACCTCACCCTCTCCACTATATATAAGCTCTCTGACTTGACAAGCTTACACTGGCTCCCCGCAGCCCGTTGGGCAGCAATTTGAATAGGGGGTATGCTCTCAAAAGCTGCGGCTTTATGTGATCAGCTCTTCATGCAGTTAGTCAAATAGTCCATATTTTTCTTAAAAAAAGAGTTGGGAAATACGAGTCGCAGACTCACAGAGTATTACATGTATTGGTGGACATTCAACATGAAAAATGACAAGAGCCGGATGTGGAGCCAAATGTGGAGGCGTATAAGCATGGAGAATGAATGGGTAATAAATAAAAATGACATAAAAATGGCTTGTGGAAGTTAGTGAAATTTTAATGAGTTTACTCATTAATTGTTTTTTCTTGAGGAAAGAAACTTGATTCATTAAAATTCAAACATAGATTACAATAGTTGAAGTGTTGAAGTGTTGAACTATAGCCATTGGCTTGAAAGAGAGTGAGTGTGAGACTGAGAAATGAGAGTGCCTAAAGAGACCTCTGTGATTGATGAGCTGATGGTGTGCAACTCCTTATTAGTGATGCTAATGTTTTTGCTTCAAAAATGAAAGACTACAATGATCAGTTTGACAAGCTACCAACAAGTAACAAAAGAGGTACACCTTGATATGTGTCCGGGTACTTCGGGTCTGACCAGCTCAGTAAAATTTGAAATACTCCAAACAGTCCTGCTACATCAAAACTCAAAACTTTGTTTCCCGACGTTATGTGTTGGGTTCCAATTTCGTTGGAAACATTGGGAATGTGTAAATGTGTATAGACACAAGTACTATAAGCAGTGTCTATCTAATATTCTAATATGAATGAATGCAGTTGCAACCCAAAGTCCACTACTTTTTTTATTTCCGGAAAGTCTGAATTCTATGTGATAAACTGGTAGACGTTCTCTTTTTTCAGAGTATTTTTCTCTCCTAAATTCACACGACACTAGTTTTCTTTAGTGAACTAAACACGATACGTGAATACATCTAGTCATCTACAAATAATAAATTCTATCATAAACATGCATTAGCTTGAAAGTTTCACTCATTCGTTTTCTTTTGTAATCATACTTCAAAGTAAAGAGTATATTACGTAGTACGGAGTACATTTTAATTCCATACCCGTTTTCTAATAATGCATTATTGAGCATTTTAAAAATGGATCTTGATTTAGAAGCCGTTTGGCAACATAGTTATTCGGCTTATCAGACTTATTAGCCAACTTTTTCACCAAACACGTAACTTTTGCTTTCGCGCGTTGAATTGTGTAATAAGCAGAAAAAGTAAGGTTGAAGTTACTTTTCTGGCTGTATAAGCAGAAGAGTAGATGATCATTTTAGCTATTTTTACATACTTCGTATAATTTTTTCTTTATTTTATTAATGAAATATATTTTAAAAATAATTTTTTCTTAGATCAGCAGAATCAGTCAATGCAGTCACTTCAGCCAGAACTTCATAAATTTCAACAGAATCAGCCAAAACAGCCGATTTTCGTGCTACCAAACGGACTCTTAATATTCGAGCACAAATTTTATAATTTTCGGCGGCTTGGTAATTAAAATAGGTCTATGTTGCCAAACAAGATCCGATAAGATTAGTTTTTATGTACCTCTAACGTAACACGATAAAACGTATTCTTGACCTAGGAAACTAATACTGAAGTAATATACTTGAGAGAACGAAATGCATCTTGAAGTGTTAAATGTTGAACTCTTTTATTTGAATGCTTAAAATATAATGCAAATTAGTTCTAACTTCAAATCGAGGGAGAGTAAGGTTCTCAAAATGAGCAAGAATAAAACATAAGATTTGGAATAATTTGAATAAGACATTATGCTTGGTGTAAATGTGTAAACACATTCATATATGATATAAATATGCATGAAAATGTGAAGCTATACCCAGGGGCGTAGCTAGGATTGAAGGTTGGGCTGGGCCAGTACAAAGAATTTTTCAGATAATATTTTTTCACATAATTTTTTAGACTAAAAATACAAAGAATTTTTAAATTTGGGGCGGGCCGTGGCCCGGTTGGCCACCCCTCTAGCTCCGCCCCTGGCTATACCATGGTAAGTGTAAGCAATTTATGTTTGGTTTAAATGCTATTAATAAGAGTTGAAAGTTCATGTGATTGATGTATAAATGCAACATTATTTGTTGATAGAAATGTTATAATCTTCTAATTTGGGATAATATTAGCATTTATGTTTTGGGATCAAATGTTGATAAAAAAAATGTTATATTCTATATATTATAATCTTCATGGTTTACCGAAACTATATGTTTTGGGATAGGTACATCTTGTTAAAGGTATATCAATCACACGATGAACATGAAAATATATGAACTAAATGGTACCTAATCATCAATGCTTGGAAGGAGCGAGCTTTCCAACTTTGAGAATACCATGAAGAACAAAGAACAAATATAAAGGTAATAAATTGACTCAGGATTGAATGATTCATTTGTGATGGATTTATGGGGGGTTTGAGGCTAGAAAATTATGTTTGATAGTCCATTCATGATCCTAAATTAGATATGCATGAAATTCGAAGTCGTACCCTCCAAATAGGTACATTTCAATTAAAGAATATATTTCACGTTAATGTGGTTTCTATAGATTCGAGCATGATTGACGCTTGTAAATAGGGATGTCTTGATCCAGTTGATGGTTGTTTCCGACCAATATCTTCAAAATCACAAGCATTGGTGCCGGTGGGGCCCATGACCTTATTCCGCTTCCATATCAAATTAAGGCTCTTACCTTTTCCTCTCTTTGTACACTACAATTTTTTATAATTACCTCTATAAGCATAGGTAATTATTGTGTCTATCAAACTCCCCAACACTTGAGCGTAGTTTTCCGTCAAGTGAATCCTTTGTATCAGTGTAAAATTAGTGTAAAAAATTAAACCATGCAAACACTGTTTTCAATAAGATGATAAATATTAAAAATTACTTTTATGAATATGTTGCATGGTCTGAAGTCTATAATAAATACAAGTTTTTGGATCTCTTACCTTTATATTTTCCCCTATCTTAGAAATCCTAAAAAAATCTCATTATCTTATGGCATTTCTCTATTCTTAAAAAATGCCTTGTAACAACCCTAGTTGTACACTTTCACCTATAAATATATCACAAGATATCTATTGAGGGCACATTTACTATTATCACAAGATATCAAAAATCAAAATTTAATCGTTTTTTCTCACGAAGCTTACGTTCCCTATCCGACATCTCTACTTTGTCCCTGTCATCCTATGTATAAGGGAGTCATTTTTTTATGTATGGGTTTTAAATTTAATTTGTGAAGTACTTGTCATTACTTAGTGAAATATTAACAGCCAATGGTACTTATCTACTTTTAAGATTAAATTATTTTTTATATGACCTAAATTAATTTAAAAGGAAATAGCATTAGTGGCAAATTATAGTGAATGTTTGATGTTCAAAATTATTTTATCATTAAAATATTTACACAATAATATTGTATGATCCAACAAAGAATTATCAAATACGGTTAAGTGTAAGAAATAGTATACTAAAAATACATTAGATAAATTTATAGAAATACAACAAAGAACTATAAAATAGCGTTAAGCGTAAGAAATATTAAACGGTGTATAAAAATACATCAGATAAATTTTTATTAATTCTATATAAATGCATTTTTACATTTTATTTTCAACATTTATGTTTGTCTTAACCCCTTGAATATAGGGCGTCACTCTAACATAGAGTAAATTGTTTTGGAAATTGTCCTGCAGTAGATGCCCCGCAACCCTCTTATTGTTTAACAAAATTGGTATACACTTACAATGGAAAATACCATGCCATCTTTAAATTTCCGGAGAACCATGACAGAAGTATATACAAAGGAAAATTATAGAATTCAAAGGAAATATCAGAATTCCTATTTATCAAATATTTTTTCGGTGTTGTGCGCTCATTTCTCTTTAAGACCATGATTTATTTTTCATAGAACTTTTTTACTTGGAACGATTTTAATCCAATCGCACAGTATGAACCATACTACTTTTAAATTTCACAAAACAAAGTGTTGAACAAAAAAAAATGAATAAATCATGGTCAAAAGTAATCAATGCATGATTATTAGTACATCCAGCCCTTTTGTCAATTGGAAATTATTTATTTTACCCATCACGTTTTGTTTGATCATCGATGTATTTTACATAATCTTAATGGTAGTAGTAACACTCTTCTATTTGGTCAAACACATATTTTCTATATTGTTGGTTACCTCTATATTTATAGGAGAAAGTATAGATTCAAGACTATTTGGGTATTATTTGTATTTCTAATGTGTGATATTCCAAAACACACTTTACTCTCAATGTTAAAATTAAAGTCATAACTAGTAATAAAAATTAATTTATTGTATTTTTAGTTGGTCACAACTCACAATTATATAGAAGTCATTCATCAACAATATTACAGATTGAAATTAATTTGATTAACATTTAAATCTATCTACATATATTGGTGAATTTATAAACAGGCTAGTAAAAGTAAGTAGAATCATAAAGATTCAAATTTTAATGTGAGGACAAGTCATTCTTTTTAAAAATATGACTATATAATCGACGAAATAGTAAAAAACATCCATATGTTTCAAGGAAATGGTCGATGCATTAGAAATTTACTTTTTTAAGTATTAATGTAAGGGTATTAAATTTGCAAAAGACTTGTATCATTTTTTCAAAAAAACTAATTGTTAATTTAGACTTATCTAGTTTAAATATTAAACTAGTTTTACATGACTAGAATCAAGTCATTGCTATTAGCTAGGAATGTTATTTCACCTTTACTATATCCTTATTCAATCAATGCCTAAAAAGTTAATACCTTAAAATATCATTGACTAAATTTTGGTATGTGATATATATTTTTCTTTTTCATGATTATTAGTATATTCAACCCTTTTCTCAATGGGAAATTATTTATTTTACCCATCACGTTTTGTTTGATCATTAACGTATTTTGCATAATCTTAATGGTAGTAGTAACACTCTTCTGTTTGATCAAACACTTTTATTTTTTATATTGTTGGTTACCTCTATACTTATAAGTAGTGGCGGACCCAGAAAGTTGGAGCCACGGGGTCCCTACCCTTTTATATCCCCAATCTCTAATTCATATAAAACTAATAAAAAACCTCATGTTGTTCAGGTATATTATAAGCCAAATTAGCTTCACTTTCACCAATTACTTGATCCAATTCTTCATCTGTTAATGGCGAATCATTTGAATTAACACCTGAACTACTTCCGGTAGTCTGAGTTTCTTTAAATTTGGGTACAACACCAAAATATCTTTTCATCCTAAACCGTATAAAATTGAAAATAACATTTATAAATACATACATTTATTAATTTAATCTAACATTTAAAAAAAGATATGCAAAGCAGCAAAGAGAAAAACAATAAAAAAACCTGGGCGTGAGCGCGTGGAGTGGTGGGCGCGGCTGGTGGTCGACTGGAGGCAGAGCGTCGAACTTGTGAAGAGGCGTAGGTCTAAAAACGCATAGACAAAATGACGTAGTTTTGGTCTATCTAATTAAAATAGTTTTGAAAAAAAAAAACAGCTCCCAGGGGGAATCGAACATGATACCTACTGCAGCATGAAACTTTAAACCTGTGCTTGCTCCCGTTCGCCTGCTCTGTTCCTTTGGTTCTTAGTTCATTTTTCGTGTAAATATACATGTAAAATTTAATTTTATATAATATACATATAATATATATATAGGTAATTTTTTCGAGGTGCACGGGGTCCCGGGACCCTTAGTGGGTCCACCCCTGCTTATAAGAGAAAGTATAAATTCAAGACCATTTGGGTATTATT